GGGAGGGGGGTGTGCACAAGATGGGGGTGCGTGCACGGGAGGAGGTGTGTGCAAGGGAAGGGCGTGTGTGCATAGGAGCGGGTGTATGCCCAAGGGGGTGTGTGTGCACAGAAGGGAGTGTACACAGAAGGGGGTGTGTGCACAGGAGGGGGTGTGTGCACAGGAGGGGGTGTGTGCATGGGAGGTGATGTCTGCATAGCGGGGGGGGGTGGAGAGAGGACAGCCACAATAGGGGACTGGCACAGGAGCAGTCTGAGCACACGAAGGGACATGTGCAAGGGAGGATGTGTTTGGGGGTACTGCAAAGGCTGGGGGAACAGAGGTGCAGGCCCAGGAGGGGTCATGGGCAGGGAGAGGTCACACGCAGTCTCGGTGGCTTTGAGGGCCCCTGTGCTCATCCCTTCAAAGGGCTCTGCCCAATGTGACAAATGGTTCCTTGGCCAAGTTGGTTTGGGGGCTGCCAGAGGCCTCCCCTTTTCAATGCTCTTGATGCTTGTTGATGTGGCAAATCAACAACCTTGATTTTCTAGTCCCCATCCGTCCCAGCTGTGGAGCCCAGGCGCTCCACATTCAGCTACCTGGGTAGCGCTGGGTGTATACAAGGTACAGGGGTCCAGGCGCCCCTCATTCAGTGCCTTCCATGTCACGCCACCTTCTGTCTCAGAGCCATTTCCTGGCCTTGCTTCCCCCACCCCAAACCACAGACTGAGGGGTGATTTCCTCAGCTCACACGTGGGCCCTGAGACAGTGACTACCCAGTGCCTCACATACAGTAGGTGCTCAATAGATGCCTGCTGAGCCAATGATGGTGGCGGCGGCAGCAGCAGCAGGCCCTTGTCTTCGGTGCTGGGTTTGAATGGCACCAGCCAAATTCCACCCAGAACCTCAGAGTGTGACCTGACTCAGAAACAGGGTCCGGTGCAATCAGTTCAGATGAGGTGTCATGGGACTGCAGTGGGCCTAGTCCAGTGGCTGGTGTCCTTATGAGGGAGGGAAATGGCCACGTGGAGATGTAGGCAGGGACAGGAATGACGTGGCCACAAGTCACCTGGGGCCCCCTGGAGCCGGAAGAGGCCAGAAGCCCCCCTACAGCCACCAGGGGGAGTGCAGCCCTGCTGCTGCCCTGACCTTGGGGACTGATGCCCCCCAGAACCGGGGAGGATCTGCTCAGAGCATGTGAAGCTGCCAGGAGTGTGGTCATTTGGTACGGCGGCCATAGGAAACTCACACGGCTCCAAAGATGTTCCTGGAGAGGGGCCCAGGAGGTCTCAAAGGGACAGTGCGTGGGGGAGGCCTGGCGCTCTGCAGCCATCTCATCTGCAAGGTTGGCCTACACACAGGACCAGAGGACAGTCCCCAGCTCCAGAGGGAGGCACCCACAGCTCAGGTGGCTGAAAGGAAACCAAATGCAGCTCCCACTGTGCTAATGAACGGTGCACGGAAGCCAGGGACCACGGGTGGCCACAGCTGCCCTCGGGTAGACTCATGAGCACGGGAAGCTCTGCACACCAGCAAGTCACAAAGGAGGCCCCAGAACAGAGCAGGTGACTCAGAGGGAGGTGGGGTGAAGGGATGGGGACAAGCAACACGGAGAGACGGGCAGAAAGGGAGGACACTCACTCCAGCAGCCGCTGGTGGTCCAGCTCGTGGGAAGGCGGCATCCGGCAGCAGCTGAACGTGACAACGCGTCTTCCAAAGCGGTCGTCCCCTGGAGGAGCAGACACAGGTGAGCCTCTGTGCCACCTTCTAGAAAACCCTCTTAGCACTTAGCAAAAAACCCTGCTTTTGCACTTAGCAAAAAGCATCCTCCCGGGCCAGCCCAGCCCGAGATGGGAGGCACAGGCAGCAGCTGAGTGAGCATCCACCACCCGTGGCTTTATGCATGTGGCCCAAGTTCATCTTCCTGACCAGCCGCACCCTGGAAATGATCCCCCCACTCTACAGAGAGAAAACTGAGGCCCGGCAGGGTTAAGTCATCAGTGCAAAGTCAGCCAGCAGGCAGCACCAAGGGCTTAAATTGAGACACAGCTGACCTCAAAGCCAGTGTGTGGCCACTCTGCCACCTCCTCCAACCCCCTACCCAGGACTCTGGGCCATGGTGGAGGCCAGCGTGGCCTGGGGGGCAGTGGCTCCTGGGCGTGACTGCATGTTGGGGTACAGGAGCCCTCTCAGGAACGCAGCTGCTCAGTCCTGCCCTCCCTCATGACCCAGGTCACCCTGTACTGTGATGGTCTCTTGACACATCTGTGCCCACCCCACATAGACAGCTGCGGGGAGGGGTCCCCCTTGAGAGCTGGGACTGGGTCTGCTCATCTCTGTCCCCAGAACCCAGGCTGCAGACCACCCTCCCTGCCTGCAGACACTGCTGCCCCTCCTCTCCCAGCCCCCCACCCCGCCCTGCCCCACCCACGAGTGGCCAGAAGAGAAGGCTGGAGACCCCATGGTTCAGACCTTCCTCCTGTCTCTGCCCAGGGCCCTGAGACAGAGGGGCCCCTGCACACACGACACCCTTTTGAAGGCTCCAGCAGCGACTCAGGCGCAGTCTGATGTCACCGCCTGTACCCTGGCTCCTTCCACTCTGGATTCCCAGCAGTTTCTCATTCCACAGCCACAGCTCGGAGACAGAGAACAGAAGGGCTGCCCTGCTTCCCAGCACCCACAGTTTCATCATTACAATTAAACACACCAAGACACAGGTAAGAACAGCCTGCACGCGACACCTGCCAGGGATAAAAACGGGGCACAGTGCAGAGGGGGCCCAGCTCCACATCGGGTTGTCATGAGGAGCGGGGAACACGGAGATCTCCCCACTGCTGGTCCATGAGGCCCCCCAGGTCCCCCCTACCTCCTCCCTGTCCCCGGGGACCTGGGGGGCCTCTTTTCTTCAATTCTTCAAGAGCACCCTCCTGCCTGGGCTTCCACCTGGAATGTTCCCTGGCCTCCTTCCGGACTCTACACCCCTTCCTGCTAAACCCTACCTCTGCAGGACAGCTGTGCCCCCACCTCATCCACAGTGCCCCCACCTCATCCACAGTGCCCCCAGGCCGGTCTGTGGACAGCTGGCTGCATATGCGAGCAGCTCCTCTGGCTGTGGGCTCATTCCAAGGACACACTCTGAGAAGAGTTGTAAAGGCTTTTTTTTCTTGAGAGCGTCTTGCGATGTCACCAAGCTAGAATGCAGTGGCATGATCACAGCTCACTGCAGCCTCGACCTTCAGGCTCAAGTCATCCTCCCACCTCAGGCTCTCCAGTCGCTGGGATTCGAGGCTCATGCCACCACACCATGAACTTCAACCCCCATGGTGCAGGCCCAGGAGGGGTCATGGACAGGGAGAGGCCACAGGCAGCCTTGATGGCGTTGAGGACTCCTGGGCTCATCCCTTCAAAGGGCTCCGCTCAGTGCAGGAAAGGTTCCTGGCCCATGTTCCACGGCCGGTGCAGGGGCTGGGCGCTGTGCAAAGCGACCGAGGTCCAGGCTTCTGTGAGGGTGCTCATCTCCCAGGGGACTCTGGGGTGCCCAGGTTGGGGGCTGGAGGTGGGAAGCCCAGAGCAGGGTGCAGACCCTCCTCCCAGCATGTGCTGCTCCCTCTTCCTTTCCTCACACAGGAGGGGGAAGACCATGCCTGCGCCTTCCAGGATGAGAGCATTCCCACTTTAAAAAGTCCAGCCCCTCAGTGGCACTAGCCACATTCCAGGTGTCCATCAGTCATGCACGGTGAGGGGCTGCCCTGGACAAGGCAGGGATGGAGTGCGTCCAGTCCACAGAACGTTCCACTGGGCAGCTCTGACCTTGAGGGGGCAGGTTAGGGCATGGACCTCAGGAAACGGGCCACAGGGCTGCTGAGTCTGCCTCTAACCCTGTGTAGTGCGGGAAGAGTGCCCCAGCCCCGCTAAAAGAAAAGGGAAGTCCCCCTGGACCCTGCAAATGTGACACTGGAAACAGGGTTGCTACAGATCTAATTAGCTAAAGATCCAGAGAAGATTATCCTGGATTTAGGATCCGCTTCAAATGGCTGGCGGGACACGGTGGCTCACACCTGCAATCCCAGCCCTTTGGGAGGCCAAGGTGACAGGATCACTTGAGCCCAGTAGCTCAAAATCAGCCTGCGCAACATAATGAGATCTTCTTCGTCCCTAAAAAAATTTTTTTTAAATTAGCCAGGTGTGGTGGCAAGTAGCTCTAGTCCTAGCTACTCAGGAGGCCAAGGTGGGAGGATTGCTTGAGGCTGCGGGGGCAAGACTGCAGTGAGCTGTGATCGCGCCACTGCACGCCAGCCTGGGTGACATCACAAGACCCTGTCTCGGGAAAAACAAACAAACAAAAAGTCTTTACAGCTGTTCTCAGAGTACGTCCTTGGAATGAGAAGGGAGGGTGGTACAGCTTTCTCAGCCCCCAGCTCTGAAAGGTCATGAACCAAGATTCCACACTTGGCCCGTGCCTGTAAGCCCAGCACTTTGGGAGGCTGAGGTGGAGGGCTCACTCGAGCTCAGGAATTCGAGGCTACAGTGAGCTAGGATCACGCCACTACACCAGCCTGGGCAACAGACACTGACCCTGTCTCCCGGAACAAAAAATTACAATTCTGCATGCACACATATACCCACACGCACACTGGCGTGAGTACACACACACACACACACACACGCACAGTGTGTGAACTCTGATGTCCATGAGTATACACACACACACATACACACATGCAGTGTGAACTCTGATGTCCATGAGTACACACACACACACACACACACACACACAGGCACAGTGTGTGAACTCTCATGTCCATGAGTACACACACACACATGCAGTGTGTGAACTCTGATGTCCATGAGTACACACACACA